GGTATGATGATCAAATAGTCGATCATTTTAATAGTGAAAAGCTTGGTATTAATAATCGCACTCACACAATGAGCATAAACTAGCACAGTGTCAGGCAAGTTGAGGTGTATGATTATCCTATTTAGGGCAAGAAGACATTCCCCTGATTAGGAGGTCAAGATTCTTGACCACATAGTGGTTATGTTGCTGAACTCCCACATGGCCAACTGTGGTTTGAGTCCTGGGCTGGTGGCTTCAAACTTACACTGGGGGCATATGCATGCATGCCCAGGATCCTGCAGGAGATTATTTCTGTCTCTCTGGCAAGCACACACACCCTATAGAAAAACAAACAAACAAACAAAACAAAACAAAAAAACACCTCTCCAAAAATAAATAAATATAAATAAATAAATAAACAGCTGATTAAATTACATTTTATGGACTTGGTGATTCAGTAACTGCGTTTCTCTCTTTGCTTTGGCTTCTAGGAAGCTCAAAGCCATATTTGTGGCCCATCTTTTATAATCGTGATGGAATAACCAAAGTATCTCTGCCTACTGTCACCAGCTCTATCTTGTTCTTTTTTTATTTTAAAAAAGTTTATTTAGTTCTTCCATGAGTAAGAGAAAGAGATCGTACTTCCAGCAGGGTCTCAATGCCAAAATTCACCGCTAGCCTTCAGCCAGCCCCAGATCATGGGCATGCATACGCCCATCATACACAGGGAGGTTTCTTACACAGGGAGGTTTCTTGTCTTGAACTGGGAGGTGTCTTCTGTGGGATGCCACATAAGATGTTGCATTTCACCACTAGTCATGGTCTGGTCCTTTATTTTGTCAACCTTTATTTCTTTTTTTTTTTATTCTAACATATTAATACACAAACACACACACACACACACACATATATATATATATATATATTTTTTTTTTAATTTGCCAGACAGCATGTGCACCTCTCTCGTTAGAGATGGAGAAAGAGAAAGCATCCCCTAGATGGCATGGTCACACCATAATCCTGTCTCCATTTTTCCATCTTGTTGGAATTTGGGGCAAGCATGCACACATACCCAGTGTGTCCTTCAGACTGCTGGAGCAGGGCTTTGAAGCAAGCAGTTGGCAATGTGGGATCTGCCTCCCTGAACCACTAGGCTGTGGAGATGTTTCCTAACTTCTTAATCTTTTTGAAAATCTTGTTGTATGTATTTCATAAGTTGCTTGGTGTGTGATGTCTGAAGGAATAGGTGGGTGACTTGAGTCTGAATAGCTGGATGGGTGAATGTGTGAATGGATAGATGGATTTGGGTAAGTGTTGGGGGATGTTTGCACGTGCCTATGTGTTTGGATAGAGGTGTGGGTGTATTGGTCAATAAATATATGGACGAGTGGTTAGGCATCTGGATGGATAGATGAGTGAATGAATGCTCAGATGAACGGATGTTTAAAGAAATGAAAGGATATTTAGATAGATATATAGATGCACGTTTGGCTGGATATATGGATAGGTGACTAGTGAGCGAGTGAATGGTCAGCTTGCTGGATATTTAGATGGATAGCTTTTGGCACAAATAAATGAAAGCATTGTTGGATCGGTGTTTGAATACAGGGGTTACAAGGTGCGTAGATGGATAGTGGGGAGTTGGGTATCTGCAAGAATGTAGCATGGCTGGCTGGTTAGTTAGGTAGACAACTAGGCATGCACACATACATGTATGTGTGTACTGGATGAATGAAGAACAAGTGGAAGGATGGGTAGGTGAGTGGATCTTTGGATGACTGGATAATACTTTCTCAATACAAGCTGTAAATGTACCAAGTGTGAAATAACAAGAATAAAGCACTTTGCCAATGACTGGAAATTATGGGCATTCTAACTTTCTAACTTACTGGAAAGGATCTAGCTTTGTAGACATCCTCCTTTGTACCCCTCATTTTGCACAGACTGACAAGCGTAAGAAAGACCTTCGTTCTGACCCTTGCCCTGCCACTTACCATGTGACCTTGAACAATTACCTCACCTCTCTGTGCTTTAGTTTGTTCACCCATACAATGAAGTTAAAATGTCTACTCCAGAGGGTTGCTGTGAAGTCTAAAAGGCCCGCTTTACATTTCAACAGATATCTGTATACTTGCTTCTGAGCTGTACCATGAGTGAGAATATCTTAACCAAGCACAGAATAAGAGTCCTGTCCTTAAGTCTCATTGATTCAACCTAAGTCACACACCTACCCTGGGACCAATAGCAGTTGGTAGTGGCACATGCTATTTGGATGAATCTGCTCGGATCAGGCTTCATTCACCCCCAGAGCTGGGAGCAGGTCAGCTTCCCTTGAGTTACCTGCTTGAAGGAAAAAAGGTGGGGAAGAAACATTTGGGAACTGCTGGTTCAGACCAGGTAAAGGTGAGACTTATGCTGACACATAGTGGAGATAAGTGACCAGGGGGCAGACAACCATGGTAAGGGTATAGAAAAGCCATGCTTTGGGGGCAGACGTCCAGGGAGTAGTGGAAAGAAAATAATATTCCGTGGGATAGGGAACCCCAGAGAAGTGCAGGCCTTGGGGGTAGGTTGCCCTGGAGTGTCCATGAACGATTCAGGGGAAGGGATGGTTGGAATGGTGTATCTGAGACCTTCGAGAAAGTTCAGGGCTGCAAACAGAGACTGGGAAGTATTTAGTACTTCTCTGTCTATAAACCTGTGTGCCCTTTTAATAAACATAAACGTTGACATCCTGCTTTAAAGTTATTTACAACTCCTAAGTGTATTAAATATGATTGAAACAACTAAAAGAGTCATAGCTGAGTGGGCTTCCCAGCTACGGCAGGCGGCCACTGCGGGCAAGTAGAGACGTCTCCCATCTCTTGGACCTTTGGAGACCCAGGCTCCTTGTTCTTCCCTCTCCGTGCCTGGGGCGAGGCCACCAGGAATGGCCCTCAGCCCAGACCCTGTACACTGGCACTTTCGCGTCTGCTCTTTTCACGGAAGTTACCCCCTTGTTCTGCAACATCTCTGACAGGCAGGTGTTCGCGCAGGTCCTGGTCACCTTCAGAGTCGGGGAGCTCACTACCTCCTGGGATGGCCTCTGCCTTCCAGACGGCATTCCCGACCGGAAGTTCACTGGCCCCTGGGCGTCCGCACTGGGAGTGCGAGGCTTGCCTCAGTTTCTCCCTCTCACCGGCTGGCCCCACCCTTGCTTTCATAGCCGGAAGCCGGCTCCACAGCTCTCGCCCACGGTAGAGGCGGTGGGTTTCCTCCCGCTCAGTCGCCTATTGGGACACCTCAGTGAAACACTTCCGGTTTTTCCAAGTACGGCTCTTCTGGTTTCAGTGGACCGCGGGCACTTCCGGCCCCGCCCTCCTACGCCTTTTCCTGAGCCGGTGGCGGTGGGGGGACGGGGGATAGGTGG